GTCCCAGCTGTGACACCCCACCCTGTGCTGTTAAAGCATCCTGGCCCCCCAGCATTCCCAGTTTCTTTTATCCATTGCAGGCACTGCTGGAGTCCTGCAGTGTAGTAGGAGTGGTTGATGGAAGCTGGCATCCAAACTGTCCCTGTATGGGGTAAAAAGTAAGGTAAGCGGCTGGATTTGTCCCTGAGCAAAGGAGAGCAGTGCAGGAGAGGGAACGATCAAGGGCAGCTTGGTACAAGGTCGTACACTGTCTTGGTGGGTGAGAGTGCCATAGCCTGGGGATCTGGGGGGGTATTTGGGAAAGGAAGCCCAGGACAGGGATTATTGCAGGAGCCCCAGTTTCCATCTTTGTGCCAGCCCCAGTCCTGCCCAGCAGCACCGCTCAGCTGGGGTTGTCAGCTAGCAGGAGGTGTTGCTGTCACCCCAGTACAGGAAAGCGGCAGCAGCTCCCTCTCTTGTCCACGTTGGGCTTTTCTGATAAGAACACGTTTCCCTTTTGTTTCCTGGAGTGTTTTATGGCAGTTGAGAATCCTGTTGCACTTCTCTGTAATGGATTTTTTCCTTTATAATTTCCTATGCTGATTGTTTCCCGCTGGGGAGGTGCAGACAGAGAGAAGATCTCCAGCTTCTGGGCAGGTGGAGCAGCTGATGGGACAGCAGATGGCTGCAGGGATCTCTTCCTCATCCCTGCAGCTTTTGCTATAAGGGATGGCAAAGCAAGCTTCAGCAGCAGATTTCTCTCCCCATCAAGCTTTTAATGCTAGAAGAAGTGTAAGAAGGTCTGGTATCCCTAAAGTAATGGGGCAGCTGAGACTAAATACCAGGGAACCTACAATGTACCCTAGAGCATCCTGCAAAGGAGTACAGCTGCTGTTAAAAAAAACCCTCAACAGAGCCAGGAAAAGAGTTTGTACTGCATGTACCATTTTTATTCTCATACATATATATATTACATCATTTTAAAACAGAATATTTATGAAAGAAATGTTTTTACAGGTCAAAGCAACCCACCATGATCCCCACAGCCCCTTTGCCTGCTATGGAAAGATGACCTGCACTGGGGACAGGCTGGCCTGCAGACAGAGCTTCTTCCCCATCTCCCTGCTGCTACTGGGACAACCTGCGCTTCTCCTCCCCCTTGGAAAAAAAAGGTCTTTAGCAGTCCCTCCCCTCCAGAGTCAGTGCAGAGAATGCTTTATTGCTCCATCATACACCCCATCCCCTTCCTGCAGTGCTGCGAGAGACTGGGGCTTCCTGGAGGGGCGGGAAACACTGGTGTGAGAAAGGCAAGGAAGAACCAGAATTAAGAGTGTGATTTGAAGTATATGTGTAAAACCCATCGCACGGAGCCAGTCCTTCCCCAGATGCAGCCCCAGCTTGGGTCTGGGACACTAGAAGGCACGTTGGCTCGGCAGCTGCAGGCAGCCTTGCTTTGAGTGGGGTTAAGACCTTCCTTCCAACCTAAATGATTCAGGGAACAACCCTCTCCTTGTGACACCCATGGCATCCTCATCTTCTGCCTTCATTTTCCAGCTGAAGGTTTCCCACCCCTGTTTCTCTTCTTCACCAGGGCAGGAAGAAGCCCAAGCCCTGGGACCAGTCTGCCCCAGTAGCACCGTGGTGGTGGGGAAGGTGGCAGCAGGGACAGCCCCCTGGTCAGTGCATTGGGTGGGTTTGCTCTCCTACGAGGGGCTGATTCAGCCCTCTAAGGGAAGGCTGGGCTATTCCAAGAAGGTGGTTTTATCTGGAGCTCTTGCTTCTTTAGTAGATATGTGCTTTTTTTTTTTTTTTTTTTTTTTGGTAAAAAAGGGCTCCTGGCACTGCCAGTCCCAGAGCAAAAGCCTTCTGCAAATGGTCAAGGTGGCCCATGGTACCTTGTCCAGGCCCCTAGTGAGTGGGGCTTCGAGGTAGATACCTGCTGGGGCTCTCTGGAGAGGGGCCACCAACCCTACAGACAGCAGCAGCTTCTGGGGAGGGACAAGTTTGTCCTCCTTTGAGCCCAGCAAATCCAATCCTGCCCCCCTAAAGCCCTCAGCACTTTCCCCAGCAGCACTCCAGTACAAACCAGTGATGCTGTGGGTCACAGCAGGGTGCACACCCCCAGCTGATGGACACTGGGGTCCCCTGGACAAAGAGAGGTCCTGGAGGGGGGTTTTCCCCCCTCTTTGCCCTCCCAGCCAGCACACAGGTGGCTGTCCCTGCAGTGCTGTTGCCATCCAGTGACAGGACACAGAACTACAGACCAGTTGCCCATTCACAGTCCCAGTTCAAGCTTTTTTTCCACTTGGTAACCAGTGTCAGAAGGCTAGGAGAGGTGAGAGCAGAGGGAGATAACGTGCTGATATCCTGAGACAATCCTCCCTGCAAATCCCCTGAGAAAACGGATAAAATTTTCCTCTCCTACAGCACCTATTTTAAAAGTTCCCTTCCCTGTCCTGGCATCCAGGACTTCACTAAGGCTTGATCACATACCATAAAGCTGAAAAATGTCCTTTTTTCCAAGCGTGCTGGCCTCACAGTTGAGTTTGGTTTGCAAGGTGAAGCACCTTATGTGGAAGATGAGAATAAATTCCAAGCAGCATGGCTTTCTGTACAAGCAAAAGTTCTCTCCAGCCTGTTAGAGTTCTTGGAGTGTGTCGGTGAAGTAGTGAATAAAAGCTGCTGTAATGCTTTATTTCCAAGGTCCTGTGAAAAAAGTCCTGCTGGAGATGTGACCAAACCAGACAATGAGCCTGGAGGACAATGACATGTCCGTAATGGGGTTGATTAAGAGAAGAGGATGCTGACAATGAGGAGTTCATTTTCATCGTGGCAAAAAGGCTCCATCTGGTGGTGTTTTCACCCAGAAAGAGGGTAAGGCACTGGGATGGGAAACTGGAGATGGTACTGAGCTGGTTAGACTGGTTCACAGCACAGTCTTGAGATCTCAAGATGGGTGAATAGGTGGCAGGATGATAAATGAAGCTGCGTGTGGATAAATGCAAAGAAATACCCTCGCAAGGGGACAAAGGAGCTAGGTGGGCGTTCGGCTGCTCCAGGAGGGTCAGCCAGAAAACCTGAGCATGGACAATCCGCTGGAGATTTGTGCTGCTCAGCACAGATAAAACAAATAAAGCAACCAAAGCAGAGATATATAGAAGAGGAATATTATAGCAAATATTTTAAAGTCTTTCTATTAAGGACAGTTGAGGGCACTCCACCAGGGAAAGGGATACTGCAGAAATGGTCAGGGTCAAAATGATAAGCACAGAAAGACCCCGATATGGAAGCAGGCTGAAAGGTTTGCTATTCTTATGTTAAAAGAGGCAGGAACGTGAGGGAGGTCAGTGTTATGAAATGATGGCTGGTCCTGCTAAGCCTCTGCAGCTGCAAGGAGGAAGGATGCTGGGTGTTCTGTCTGTGCTCAGATAAGATGTGTAGTAACAAGCTTAAACTGCAGCAAGGGATAGGCATTGAGGGAAAAAAAAAAATCTATCTGAAGGTAAAGATGAAGGTAGAAATCAGTGTTATGGGGAGGCAATACTGGAGGGCTTTAAAAACAGCTTAGACAGATGTCTGTCGGGAACGCCTTTGCTGCAGAGGGGCTGCTCCCCCGGTCTCTCTGACCCCCTTTGGGCTCTCAGGGTCTGTGACTCCCAAAGGCTCCAGCCCAAAGGGCTCTGTCTGCACTGGGAGAGGAGCTGGACACAGGACCACTGCCCATCCCCACCTCTGAGGTCCCTCCGGCTCCCGCACCCCATGGCTGACCTGCTCTGGGAGATGGGTGATGCTGGAGGAGGGTGAGTTTGGCTCAGACAGGGCCAGTCACAGTTTCAAACCTTAGAGTGGAGTAAAAAGAATAGAGCTAAACCACATGGTCCATGCTGGGATGCTATTCCAATTTTGCAAAAATCAGAAAGATTTGGGATGGGAGAGGGGAGCCTGCTTCCCTCCCTCCCCCAAAAATCGGGCATGAATGGAACAAGGTCAAGTCACTTCCCAAAGCCACTGTGCCCACGAGAGGCTGGGTCCTACGGTCCGGGCAGCTATGAACACTGCAGCCCTGGGTTAACCAGGGCATCCCTGCACCATCCTGCCCAGCTGAGCTCAGGAGGCAAAGAGCTGACTCAGGGATGGGATGCAATCCAGTGCCTCCCACTGAGGGCAAGGGAGCCCAACTGGCCACAACTGGGCTGCTCGTTCACCAGCATCCCATCTACTGAACTGGAGGGAGGGCAGGCAGGCTGCCCACACCAACCATTAGTCACTCCACAGCTTTTTAGTGTTTGGAAACCTGGCTGGCTCTTCCCAGGTCTGCTGGCACATGGAGGGATGCGAGGTTGCACCCCAGCACCTGCACCAGCCCCGGGAGAGCTGCGGGTCCCCAGGGTCAGGCTGTGGCAGGGAGAACTTGCCAGATTGTCAGAGGACGGGGAGTCAGCGTGTTTCTTTAAAAAGGGGTAGGGATGCTTGTTAAAAGGAGAGAGAAGGCTCAAGTACTTGGGCTCAGGAGCAGAGGGAAGGTGAAAGCAAGTCCCATGTGAGCTTTCTGTTGCTGGCTCGCCCCCCCCAGTGACTTACAACTGCAGCAGCCAAGGCTGCAATCCCTCAATGCAGGCATGGGCTGGGCTGTTAGCGAGGGGGGAGCTCTGCACCCGCCCCAAGGAGCAGACAGGACCCCCCACACACACTGGCATTAGCACAACAACACGTTTGTTCCTCCCAAGGAGCCTGTTCTCCTGCCTTGCTGCTGCGTGCTGGGAGCGTCACAGCGATGCTCTGTCCTCAGCAGCTCAGCGAGGCGTAAAACAGACACCAAGGATTAACCTCACCCCCCCAGCTGCTGCTCTCCATAGCACCGGGTGGTGTCTCCGGGGGTGGCAGAGACCCTGCACCGTGCGGTGGGGGGGTCACAGAGGTTCCCTGAATCCCCCCTCTTTTGGGAGACATCAATGCAGAGCAGAGATTCGAGAGCGAGCTTGGCCGGACCCCCCGCCCCCCAGCCTCTGCCCCCACGTCGGTCAGGGTCTGAAGAAGTGCCGTACCACTAAGTGCCCCACCATGACCAGGGCCACCACCGCCAGCATGTACTTCATGTAAACATTGTCCAGCGTGAGCGCAGCCACCTGATGGGAAACAGAGAATCACCGCGGAGGGTTAGATCTGCTCTGCCTGCACTGGGTGACCCCAGCGATGCCACCATCCCCAGGCTGCACCTTTCACCGGCTCCCTGCACCCCTGAATCCCCCCGGGCTGCTGGCTCACCCATCCTCCCTGCTGGGCGATCCACTGGGCGATGCGGTTCCGGAGGATGAACTCGGTGACGTAGCGAGCGATGCGGCGGAGGAAGCCTGGGATGCCGTGCTGGTACACGTGGATGGCCATGCGGTAGCCGAAGCCCAGCAGGGCGATCAACCGGCCAGCTCTCGAATAAACTGAAATGAAGCCGATGGGCTGGTTAAATTGCTGCCCCAGCTGGTGCAGACCTCCCCAGGTGCTGCATCCCGGGCCACGGGCAGTGCTGGTTGCAGGGCTGGGGATGCTGCACGGGTCCTCAAGGTGCATCCCAGCCGCATGGCCAATGTGGGTGTTTTGTGGCTAAAAGGGACACACTCCAATAACCAGGGTGTGCTTTCAGAGCAGAACAAATACAGTCTGGGTCACAACTGCTGTTTGCCTCAGCCCAGGTGGGTCAGGGATGTCCTGGGGAAAAAGGAATTTCCAGATCCTGTCTAAATAGCTCAAGTCTCTGAATTGCTGAAGTGGAAGCGTTGGGATGGTGGCTGCCACCCTCCTGCCTGTCCTGCTTTTCCCTCGGGTCTCCACCTGAATTCAGGGCACACCAGCTGCCTGTAGGTCCTGTGTTTTCATGGGTGAGGTTATTAAACAAGGTAAGCTGGAGCTGCTGGTGGTGTAAGCCGTCAGGCTGCCCCAGGCTCAGCAGCTGCTACACACGCAGCCAGGAGCAGGAACCTCCTGTCCCAAAGCATCCCTTGCTTGTGCCCGGAGGTACCTCGGGTCTCCACCTGAATTCAGGGCACACCAGCTGCCTGTAGGTCCTGTGTTTTCATGGGTGAGGTTATTAAACAAGGTAAGCTGGAGCTGCTGGTGGTGTAAGCCGTCAGGCTGCCCCAGGCTCAGCAGCTGCTACACACGCAGCCAGGAGCAGGAACCTCCTGTCCCAAAGCATCCCTTGCTTGTGCCCGGAGGTAAGGAAGCTTAAATATACCTAAGGACAAAGCACGTTAGAACAGGATTTTCCCTTTTCCTCCATAGAAAAACCTCTCCAAGACCAAAACCTGATCTGATCTTGCCTTAGCCTGATGCTCCAAAATGTGCCTAGGCAATGCCCACCCCTCCTGCTCCAGGTTTTGGTTGCTGTGGACACAAACTGCATCCCTGCCTGCAGGCTTGGTGCTGCTTTATCTAGACCAGTTGCTGAAATATTTTGTGGGTTGTTTTTTTTTTTCTTTTTTCCTGGTTTCCAGCAAGACAAGCAAGAAGGAAGAAAAGGAAAAAAAAATAAGAGTAGCCCCAAGCCCTGTGTTTTAATCTCATGCCCTGTTCCTGGTGGTCCCTGTCTGCAACTCTGAAGGAAACTGGATTCTCTGCAGAACCGTGGAGTGGAGCTGCCACCGTGCAGGTCACCGAGGGAGAGGGAAGTTAGAGCCCGGGAAGGAACAGAGAGACAGGTAGCACCGAGAGAGGGACAGAGGTTAATTTACCTGTTTGCGGTGCGTTAACCACCTCAGGCTGGCAAAGCGGTGAAAACAGCGCAGAGTGGCTTCCCGAGGAGAGGGGAGCAGGAAGAGGACAGAAGAGAGGTGGTTAGACAACAAACACCGAGCGGAGGTGGGGACGGGGCTGTGCCGGAGCCAGGCACACTCCGAGGAGCTCTGGGAGCCCAGAACCTGGGAACTGAGACCCTGGCTTCTCTCCGGGCTCTGCCAGGGGTCTTCTGCATGACCCTGGGCAAGTCATTGACCGTGCAGAGCATCTCATGGAAAGCATCTCAGTTTCCCTGCAGGCAGAGAGGGCTGAGGACTGAACCCCTTGATGGCCACCTCGATCTGAGCCTGTCCCTTGGGCAATCAGGGCAATAAGCCGCCCAGGCACTGGCCTTTGCTCTCCCCCTCTTGCTGTGCTTTGCGTGGGAGCACTGGGTGAGCATCGCCTGCACGAGATGGCTGCAGGTCCCCAGAGCATCCCGCATCCCGAGTTAGTCTGATCCTGTCCCATGTGGGTCACACCAAGGGCAGCGAGTACCTGTCCGTCCCCACAGCCTGCAGCTGCCTTTGCTTTGTGCCTCTGGAAAGTTTGACCCATCGGGATGTCCCAGCTCCCAGGGGAGTGGCAGCGGGACCAGCAGCAGCTCTGCTTGGTCCAGGGCTGGTCATACCCCTGAAGGGGAGCTGGGACATCACTTGGCTACTGATGCACAGGGCACACTTGCCAGGCACGTCCCCCAAACTCTCTGTCAGCTCACACAAGGGCTCAGAGATAATTGTCAGGTGAAGAGTGTACAAACAGTGCACAGGAGGAAGAGCAGAGAGGCAGAAAACTCAGGAACCATCATGGTGAGATTGTTGGGAGCTCAACCCAGGGTGAAGCTGCAATGGACAGCATCTGTGAGCTGGGGCAGAGCTGGGGGGGGGGGGAAAAAGGGGGGGGGGGGGGTGGTGAGGTTTTAACCGACTGCATTGCACCCGTCTGATCTTTCCTGCCCTGCTCTTCTCCGGGAGAAGGCGCCCAGCCCAGGGGCCGCTGGCCCTACCTGGAGGCTATCCTGGTGAAGTACTCGTAGGCGTTCTCCTTGGTGGGCTGCAAGGATTTCAGCATGTAGCGGAACTCCGCGTCGTACCGCTCGTTGATGTCATCACCGATGATGGCCAAGCGCCTCCCCACCTCGCTCCCGGTGCTGCTACGAGGGAACACGGCGTTGTGGATGGGTCAGACCGGTACGTGGGAGCAAGGGTGGGTCTGTACCGGAGCCTGGCTCAGGATGGGGCTGAGGAACCTGCGTAGGGTCGGTGTCAGGGTTTTACCTGCCCAGCTGCTGCTGGACCTCCAGGATCTCCGGGTCCATGGGCACCTCCTCCCCTCTCTCCTCTCTCTCCTGCTGGTAGCGGTAGAAGGCATAGCTGCAAAACACCTCCTCCGTCTCCTCCGCCACCTGGTCTTCTGAGAGAGAGACAAAGGGGAAAAAAAATGAAAAGTCAAAGTCAGCTCATCTCCCCCCTTTCCCAAGTTGGAAAGAGACCTTTCCTTCATTTTCAGTCTAAATTTTTCTTTGTATTAACACTGGCCTTTTGCAGGGGAAAAAAAAAAGAATCCAACATAAATTAGTCCTCAGAAAACAAATTTTGAAGCCAGTCTTTGCTCTTAGGGGCACAGGCCCCCAGTTTGAATCCATTTTTGGCAAGAGGCAGCTCCAGGACTGTCACAACACAAACCAGATGTTGGAGCGCTGGCGCTCGGCAGCTCTCTCCATGTGACAGCGCCTGGTGGTGAGGGAATTGCTCAGCACAAACACCTTCAGGAATCTCAGATCCAAACTCAAACGGGAGGCAAAGCTCAGACTAGCGCTGCCCATCAACCCTCAGCAAACAGTCTTGGTTTTCCATGTCCCCTGCAATTGTACCCTTGCCATGGCATCAGCAGTGACACAGCGAGCAGAAGTTAAATTGGTCATTTTCTATGATTATTTTATTATAATTTCTTGTCGATTCAGCCACACGTTGCTGGTCTCACATTGCAGCAGCGATGCCAGGGCAGGGTTTGCAGCTTCTGCCGGGGCTGCTGGCAGGAACAGAAAGCAGAAGAGCTTTGGAATCGCTCATAAACCGTAACCCAGATTGGCGACTCCCCGTCCTGTGCTTGAAAGCAGATAAACAGCCGGGTGATAAGCTCCAACTCCAGCACACCCAGCGCTGCTGCACGAGAGCAGACACCTAAAATCACCCAACCCCCTGGGGAAGCACTGAGCCCACTGCACAGGGAGCGGGAGGCTGCAGCGGGGCCGGGGCTGGTTGTAGGGCTGAGCCAGGGCTGGTGTTGGGCTGAGCTAAGGCTGTTTGTCGGTGTCACAGCTTCCCCCCCTGCTCTCGTAAACAAGCCGTGC